GGACAAGACCGGTAGAGCTCGTCAAAGACGCAGAGCCTACGATGAATGGCTACCTACCTAGGTACCTAGGTAGGCAGGTATTATGTATACTCAAGTACATATTATTGATTACCGAACTTCGAGTTCACCAGCCACATTATTCCCAAGTACGGAACGGCCCTTCCTGCCGGCGTGACTATTTCAGCGGACAATACATACTGCAAGCCCGAAACTTGGGTCTTGAAGCACATGGCGAAGTAGGATACCGTTGCAAACACTTCCCAACCACTGAAATATGAAAGCACTGGCTACCCAATGTTAGCAATCTGAATAATTATACATATATTGAGCAAGTAGTCTCGATACCCCATGGCGATACATCCCAGTCCGCTTCATGTATTCCGACGACACTTTATAAAATGACACCACCATCTTTAACCCCAATTAGAACTTGTCAAAGTGTTGACTTTTCTCGGTTCACCTGCCACAAGTCGCGGCCATGTTTAATGACTATGCCGTCGCTGGCGAGCTTTTCAAGAATTTGCAAAACGCCGTTACATGCCGCTTGGTGCAGTGCATCAGGAACGTCACTATAGATGATTTTGACAAGATCCATGGCAGACCATCTCGTGCCACTGGCATCTATTCCATCATTACCCCCCCGCATGGTTTGCAGAACCTGGTCCACTCTCTGTTGCCGGTGCTCAATATACTCGGTAATTTTGCCTGGGCCGTCCTCCACGACCGGGCCATGGCCAGGATACGCCCTTCCGGAGAACAATTGTCGCATTTGGTGAAGGCTGCGCAAATACTCCGACATATCCTCAAACACAGCGGTACCTTGCCCAAGCACATTATCGGCTGTAAACATGGCGTCCTCCTCAGCCAGTACAAAGACCATATGGTCCTTGGTATGACCCGGTGTGTGAATGGCGGTTAAGTTGACGCCATCGACGTGAAATTTTTGGCCGTCCACAATTCCTTTGTGCCCCAGTTCGGGGTCATGCTTGTAAATAGCCGCATCTGGGGCTGTTGAAAGGACATCAGCAATGCCGCCAGTGTGGTCGTGATGCCAATGAGATATGAGTACCGTATCTACTGTCGCCCTCTCCTCGGCCAGGGTTGACTTGAGAGAAGCTATCCAAGCTGGTCGGCCTTCTCCTGTGTCAATCAGAATACGACGGGCGCCACGCCCGAGTAGATATGTATTCGTCCCCTGGAGTGTGAATTTACCAGGGTTCCCTCCGAGAATGCGAACACATAGAGGACTGAGCCGTTCAACAGCCGGGAGGGGAGTCAGTTGAGTAGCCATGGTTCTAAATAGACCTTGTGTCCACATTCAGAGTTCGAAGGAAACAAGGCGTTGATGCCAGCTGATATCAGTGATAAGACCTAGTAGAATAGAGAAACAAATATGATCTGTGTTTGCAACTTCATGCATTTGGAATATAATTATTGTAGAATTTACGGGAAAGGTGCATTACTTTCTCAGCTTAATAAAAGATGATTGTGTTATTGGTATTTCGTGCTGGTAAAGGGCGGGGCATGAATTCATTCTACCTCGGCTCGAGTGTTCCCCGTAGGCGAATCAGAGGCACCCCTCCTAAGCCAGAACTACACTTCATCACGCTGACACTCGGGCAAAGTTTCCAAAAGTGTCAATGGTCTCGGTTTTTTGGGTTTTTTTGGGGGGTTTTTTTTTTCTTCGTCTTGGGACACTTTATCAAGAACATTTGCCTGGCGACATACTCGATAATATTAGAAAATTCCAACTAATGATCCTACAAACATCATCATCGCGAGCACGGGGTGTTCAGACCTCGGAGACAGAAAACATTTCGAGATTACTTATATCTCGCCACACGTTCGACGGTCAGAAAGCAAGGAATCCACCCCTGTCACCTCTAATTAGAAGATCAGCCTCTGTGCTGAACGTAATTATATCGACTACTGCTTGGCGTGTATCTGGCCGCATCTCAGCTCTCTCTAACATCATCCTTCACTGCCAGATTTCAAATGTCTACCGACTTTTGGGCCGGCTACCTAAGCGGGGCAGTCGGCATCCTAGTTGGCAACCCACTCGATATCATCAAAGTTCAACTACAAGCTGGTAATACTCTCGTCAATGGCACGAGGCTCCAGGGTACCACGGCTCTGGTGACGGGGATAGCGGCTCCAGTTATTGGATATGGTGCGCTAAATGCCCTGCTCTTCGTATCCTACAATCGTTCCGAAAGTATTCTTCAAAAAGCCATCGGTTCAGGCTCAGACAAGAGCCTATGCGCGACATGGTTTGCTGGAGCAGTAGGTGGGCTTGCTACCTGGGTAGTGAGTGCTCCAACCGAACTTGTCAAATGTCGTGCTCAGATGTCAGCATCATCTGAGAGCAGCTGGAGCATTGCACGCAACGTATGGAAGAGGGAAGGGCTTCACGGTTTCTACCTGGGCGGTGTGGTTACGGCACTTAGAGACAGTATAGGATACGGGTTCTACTTCTGGTCCTATGAACTAGCGAATAGGCATTGGCCCTCCAGCATCCAAACTGAAACTCCATCCCTACGCCAGGAGACCCCTAAGATCCTGCTATGCGGGGGACTTGCAGGAATCGTCACCTGGGCAAGTGTGTTCCCCCTGGATTCAATCAAAACCCGAGTCCAGACTCAGCAATCAATCGTACATCCCCAAGCTGCTTCGATCAAACACCGCCCTGATTCAGAGGGCTTCCAGTCGACGAAACGGCTTGGCTCTCTAGATGTTGTTCGAACTATGGCTAGGGAAGGAGGGCTGCCTATATTCTTCCGCGGCTTAACTGTTTGCAGCATTCGTGCCTTCGTCGTCAATGCAGTACAGTGGGCTGTGTATGAATGGGTTATGGTGGAGTTTTGCAGAGATTACAAAACGAGAAGAATAGAACATAGAGGCAGTATGACTGTTGATGAACGCTGAAAACCCCTCGAGATAGTGCGAATATACCTGCGTCCTGCCGTGTTGCTACAGAAAGAGTTGTCCGCCTCGACGAGACTTCCGTAGGCGAACGGCATGGTTCGACCACATGCGACCATTTGTTGGTTTTTGAATAGAACGACGGGATAGTGACTCGGTTAGTTGGGGCCCGACGTATGATTGTCGACAGTGACTGGCAGTCGCGTGGGCACAATATCGCAAGAATGTGCTGGATGCTGGATACTGGGCCCATGCGGCACGTTTAGCCGGAGTGCTTTGGTTTACGCCAACGCCCTGCCGTCATTCCCAGAGGTTGCGGGTGCTCTAAACTCTGATCTTAGATAGGCGTCTTCCATATTGGCAGCAGCTGCAACTACCAAGGTGGCCTCAGGAAAGATAGCCATACCTAAGCGTGATTCCATCTAGGCTACTCGACTCTCTACTCTTACTTCAGGATTGCTCGAGCAGATAAGTTACTTCAAATGGTGACTGGTAGGATGCCACAATTATTATTCGCTTACATGCTACTTCCCACTGCGAATTTTCACTAAATTAAGTCGAAAACCGGGGGCCTCAGGGAAGGGGCGCAATTATCAAGGAGGACAATTATTCCAAATATTACTTCCATTTCCTTCCCATCACATTGTGTGGTACAAAATAGAACTCTACACTACACGTATCGAGAAGCCAAAACCCAGACCGCCAGGCAGACACTCACTTACCAGATGTCTGCAAAGCAAATCATATTCTTCATCATGTTCTGCATCCACCCCCCCAGCCTTCTAATCCAGCGTCTTGTTTCCACTCGAGGCCTCGCTCGGTGAACCTTTGGAACCACTGGTCGATGGCATCTGCCGCTTGAGAAGCGATACCTTCTTCCGATTGCGCCAAGGAGTGGCTTGTAACAAGGATGTTTTCAGGCCTAGCCGCCTGTGACTCATCACGCTTTTGCCTCTTCTTCTCGCGTTCTGCCAGCCAATTCCTACGCCCCGCGATGTATTTAATGCTGTGCCCAAGTCCAACACTCTGTGGAGACAGTCGCTCACGCGTTCGGTCCATAGGTGGACCGACAAAAAACAAGACCCGGCCAGCACTATCATGTTGAAAGCCTTTCCGAATTTGGGGATGAAGTGCCTCGTTTATGTTATCTGGTAGTGTGTATACCTCGGGTGGTCGTGGAGGGTTGTAAACATTGGTGGGATTGCTACCACTGCCAGTAGATGCATTGAATGGCATTCGCCCAAGCTGGAGTTGATTATAATGCAGCGCAGCTTGATTAGCCATCGGTGGTGGGTGGGTAAATGCTGCCGGTGATGAAGAGTATGAAGACCCAAAATTATGCGTGTAGTTTGGTTGCTGCTGCTGCTGCTGATATTGCATTGGTCGAATGGACATCTGAGGAGTCACTGCGGCCTGCGGTGGTTGTGGGATGGGTACTGGTGTTTGCTGCATAACATGGCCACCGCCGGCGGGTGTTACTGGCTGAAAATGACCTGTAGCCTGCATGCTGTACTGGTTGACTTGGGATGGGGATGGAACTGGACCAGCAGCTTGCGGAAGTCTCACAGTAGGGTCCATAGACATTTCCGGTGTTACGGATGCTGCCGAGGGACGCGTAGCAGATTCAGATGACATATGACTTGCAGTTGGCATAAGAGGCGGAGGGGGGGTTGGCTCGGGAGGAGGAGACTCCTAGCGGGATCAGTTAGCTATGACCGATTCTTATTCCTCAATCTTTGCAGGTAAGATATGGAGGTCGAGGCACCCATCTATTACTCCAACCGAGCGCAATGTGATTGCGTCGTGGGAAGGACCACCATTATCCACTCACATTTGCTTCAGGGGGGCGCCGATGAACAGCACCAACGATGGGCGGAGCATTGGGGCTTCCCCAAGTTGGTCGAGGAAGATCGTCGGTATCCTTCGCGTCCTCGCGAAGAAGATGCTTGATGGGACTAGGCACCTTTCTCATGCGGCGTGGCACCTCAAACAAGTCCATTTCATAATCCTTATCCCGTACTTCATCAGGCACACAACTCGCCCACGTCTTAATTTTATTGAAACGGAACCTCTCTTCGTTGTAGCGTGACTCGCACACATAGACGTCTTTGTCAGAAGGGAGTCCTCTTGGGCGACCTTTATTGAAGCGGGTTACGAACATAACAAAGCATCGGTCCAACAATTCGCTTATTTGGTGATCTCGATACTGGCCCGTTTTCACAACCTCATGCTCGAAGAAGTGTTTTTCATATCGATGAACAGTCTGCTCAGGGCGATAATACCAGCAGGCATTAATCCATTTTTGGCCCGCACGGTCTTGCCATGTCCGAAATATTTGAGCAACAATTGGCTTAGCAAGATCATTTGGATTCCGAATATGAACCCAATCACCTATGATGGGGCCTGGGTCAGTCTATGTTATCTAGTCAGCGGCTAGAGTGAAGTTGAATGAACCTACCGACTTTCCAGCTCTGTCCATTATGCTGTATTTCAGAAAGGGGAAGTTTGCCGTCCTCATCCCTGAAATCATCGTCTGGCTTGGCTTTTTCCTGCTCCGCAAGAATACGTGATTGTGTCTGCAATTCCACGGCAGCAAGATACAAGGGGCTATCATCTTCGTTATAAAGTTTCGCATTCTCGAACATCAATTCAATGTCCAATAGAAGGTCGTCCACATGGCGATACTTCTTTCGTTTTGCTTTCTTCTTGATGTTATCCAGAGCAATGGGATTGCTGATGCTTTGGTAATAATCAGCCATGGTTGTCTTGTCCGGCAACTTTTCGAAAGGTGTCACAAGAAGATTTCCTTCATCATCCTTGAACTTTCTAAGAGATCGGAGGATTGAAGAGATACGCGCTTCCGTAGGTGTTTGCACCATAGGCGGGCGGCCTCTCTTTTTATATGCATCATCCTCTTTATCTTCATCGGGCTCCTTGGGTCTGACGAAGGATTGACGACCACGACTGCGTGCTCTGCGTCGCTTCCGTTGTCTCTCGTCGTCGTCTGAAGACTCATCCTCATCGTCCGAAGACTCATCCTCATCTTCTTCATCCTCATCTTCGGATGGAAGTGATGGCGAGTCTTCGACGGGAGGTAGCTCACCTAGATCAGGTAGTTTCGCATCATCAGGCGCTATGTCTCCCTTTGCGACTAGCTTTTGGAGCTGTTCATGAAATATTTCTCGGAGGCGAACCGCGGCTCCGAATATTGGCGCCGATGGACGATTGTATACTTGAGCATTGTGGCAGATCTGTGCAACGTCTTTGACAAACTCCGCAATAGTCAAGTACTGTTTTTTTTGAATTTTACTCTGTTGTTCACATCAGCACCCATTTTCGAGAAAAGTGTTTGCTAAAGTAATATCGACCTACTCGAATTGTGCTAAACGCAATTGGATCGGTGATCACTTCGAAGTAATCGGGGAGGGTACGACGGTTGGGAATACGTTGAAAGCCTGCTGCAAGCTCTTCACCACTATTCACTCGCATTAGCAAAATACCATAAATACAAACATGGACCTTGAATTTCTCAGCTTACTCTTCCTCAACGGTGGACAGATGCGCCGTCAGCTGCTGTATGATCTGGAACATATTCGGATCTCCATCTTCAGTAGCGTCGCCCTCTGTATCCGTATGCCCGCCACTGGAGCAGTCCTTCATCTCGACATCTTGCTCTACTTCCCTGACTTCGATTGATCCAGTTGCATCGTCTGGGGTGAGATCACGCACAAGTGACATCTTCGTTCAAGGGTTTGGGGCGCGGCCAGGTGTGACCGCGCAGTTCTTAGGTCGTGAAACAATCAGAAGCAATGATCACTCACAGATGTTTGCGCCGCGGCCGGTAGTAAATTGACGAAGCAGGAAGCTAAACTTCACTGGAAACGCGCCCCAAATGCGAAATGCGCGTGAGGCGGCACGTTCACGGGACATGCTGACTCATCCAACCTAAGGAATAGCCGTTCTGAGGTCAATTTGTCGATTTGAGTGGAGACCACAGGGTGCCTAGGTCAGGCTAGACATCATTTTCTTGGTTAACAATGCAATAAAACGGCAGGGAATATCTTTTGATAATATGAATACAGTATAGAGAATTGTGGCCACCGTTCCAACGAGAATCACCGTGCAATTCTTCTTTTTAACAGGTCCTGCAGGGCTAAGGGTCCTTGCTGTCTTCGTCAGCGAGAGTTATACCGAAGTTTTCCGTAACAGGTTGATCGTTTTCAGAGAGCAGCACGCTTTCAGAGTGGCAGTATTACTATCTTTTCCCCTACTGCAATTTTTGAAATGAGGTCAAGATATAAAAGTCCTTTGGGGACTGGAATTCTCGAAATTGATGACAGCGCCACGATTCAGATGGTTTTTGAGGCACTTCAGGCAAAGACACGAATCGAAAACTTTGCCATCAAGTACGGCCCTCCCACCAATATGCAGTCCATCAACTTAGAACATGGAGGGCTTTTAGCCAAAGACTTGGGGCTCCATGGCGAAACTCTGACAATCGTTCCCATCGAGCTCAAGGCAGATTTGGCAACCTCAGGCCATGCTCGCCGTCTTTCCGGTCACGAGAAACGAGCTGGAACAGCCCCCGCCGCCAATACAAGCTCCGGTGATGTAATAGTACCATGGCCAGAAAGAGAAGGCAGCCTATGTACGTCGGGCTCCCTAGTGTCGCTTGCGTTTGACCCTATGTTGACTATCTTCAGTGCTTCGTGTCATGCCAAGTGACAATAGCTGTCTCTTTACCGCATTTGGTGGCGCTCTACTGAAACAGATGTCTGCAGCAAAACTTCGTCAGATGATGGCTGAGTATATTACGGAGCATCCTGATGTCTATAATGAAGCAATTCTGGGCTGTTCGCCCGTGGACTATTGCCGTGGCATCAAGGACCCTGATCGGTGGGGAGGGGGGATCGAACTCAGTATATTATCTACCATCTTTGATATTCAGATATGTACTTTCGATGTTCAGGTAGGCTTACATCCCTCTCTCGCCCTACTTTCAAGTATCGAGCTATCTGCAATGAAATACTCAATCACCCGCAGGGACAGCATCTCATGACCTTCGGCGAGCGAAAGCAAGAACGATGCATTTTGGTGTATTCTGGTATTCATTATGACCGCGTCGTCTTCAGCTACTCTGATTTCCCTCACAATGTAGCTTCTTTGCCGCCAGAGATGGACAGGTCGATCTGGCCCACAGATGATTCTGAGGTGCTGGTAAAGGCCAAGATGCTAGTCGAGGAACTAAATGCAAATCACTACTACACGGACACTGATGGACTGGTCTTGAAGTGCAACGAGGACGGCTGTGAATGGATTGGTAATGGACAACTAGCGGCCAGGAAACATGCTGAGGCTACAGGACATACCCAATTGACAGAAATTGCGGATCCGGAAGAAGACAGTATTTTGCGCAGGTGCTTGAGGGAAGGGTGTACCTTTCTAGGCCAGGGAGCCTCAGTCGAGCGACATAGAACCGACACCGGCCATAATGACTTCGATGTCATTCCCGACATGTAACACCACCAAGTCACGAAAGCGAAATTCACTTTTTAATAATCACCAGCTCACTACGAACTGATACACGCCACCTTAAATCTATGGTCCTCTCTTAATTTCGTTGCCAGCATCTCCAATGCTGCAACGTACATCGCAGGCTCCGTAAAGCTTTGGATCATTGCCTGAAACGGCACGCTCAGAAAAGTCTGAAAGAGCTTGCAAGCTTTTCTTTTCAATGTTGCTCAGTGTTTCTGGGACAACAATGGCAACATCTAATACTTTAAACAATAAATTGAGATATTCTTAGTTGATTTCTGATGCCACAGACGTCCCATGCACATCGCTTCAGCGATCTCCTACATACACGTAGAGCAGTCTATATTTCGATGAAGGGACATAATCTTAATACAAGGCGGCGTGGCATCAGAGCGACAGCGTGTCCTGCTTTTCTCTGGGTGTAAGGGCTGGTCCCGTCTGCATGTCGTCCATGGCTAAAAGGTTAAGACTAAGGAACTCGTGTTTGTTACGCCAAGTTTGCTGACTCCTGGCGAAATCCCTTATGTCAGAGGGCGGCGGCGGGGGATCGGTGATCTTAGTGACAAGATATGCAGTCGAGGCCTCTGCAATTCCATATACCAAAACTCCGAACAGGGGTACTCTACTGAGCACATAAAACCCAAGACCAAACCCAAACAAGACACCTTCGCGGCTTCTGAACCAGTTCCGCTTTTCTTCTCGCGAAAACTGGACACGCGTGAAGTAAGGCTCTAAAAGTTCATTCATTAAGTTCCGGGACGAGTAGTAACTCTGTAAAAAGATGATGAGATATCTTCGAGGCAAGAAGAGGCCGCTTCCAAAGATGATGGAAGCAGGCCCAAGTCCGACCGACTTGTGAAATGTGTAGAAACTCACTAAAGGGAGTATCAGTTGGCCAAATATCGGGGCGTATGATAAGGCGAGCACCACAATCGAAAGGCCTGCTCTGCGTACAAATTTCGACATAAATTTTATGAATGACTGCCTCCTTTTGGCTGGGGATTTCGCTGATTGATAAGACTTTAGATTGGGATAATAAAGGTCCCTTAGGTCACTCGGATTGTCGTGCTTATGTTTTTGGACATAAGTTATGTCAACCCAGTTTAAAGACTGCATGAATCTAGTTGTTCACCTTGAGCCATTATGTTGAGGCCATAGTTATTTGCGCAGGCGCTACTCACAGGTTGTCTAGAGTGGGAACTACATGACGCATTACCATCATGAGGAAGAATGGGAGCTGAAGGACAGAATCTCCCATGAAGTTCAGCCAATCGGTAACAGAATCTTCCCATGAGACTTGGTCACGGGGATAGAGCAGCGAGGTGAACCATAATACAAGCCTCGCCGCTATTATCTGCCTTGTGTGTTAGCTGAGGGGGCGGGCTCTCTGTGGCTTTGCTTGACAGTCTCTAACCGGAATTGCTACCAGCAGCCGGATTCCGAGTCCAGCTAACACGGCGTATATGGCTTGCTTATAGTACTCGGTAGTGAATAGATCCGGATTTTGCAGTGCCCTGTAGGCTTTGCAGTGCATTAGTAGTCTGACCTGGCCGTTTCTCTCTTTGCCCTTACCTCCAACCAGTGTCAACTGGGCCCCTCGGAAAATGGCATTGAGTTCGAAATGCGACGCATCAAGATTGAAACTGTCAATTAATTTTGCCTTTCGAGGCTCCATTGGCAGGTTTAGTGCTGTTTACAACTCCAAGATCGGTAGTAGAGGCCGCTGTGTCCGTATGTGACGAGGTCAAGTTGCATGAGCAGATTCCAGATACGACCTCCGGAGTACCTCGGCAGTTACTCCATTCTGGTGTTGGCGCTATAACCTCCGTCTTATTCACACGGTGCGTGGCAGCGGCTTGACGTGGACGCGTGGGGGGAGGGATGTGCTAGGTACGTCAAGCTACGTCACTACGCCAGCCAAATTGTACTTGACTCAAAAAGACAATCGACCGACCTCAGCTTTGGAGCCACCATCACGAAGATTTGTCGGATGCGATCGACATACTACTGTAAGTAAAGTACATGCAGACAATTGTGACGAGAAGCAGCGAATTGATGACGATTCACTAGGCTTTTCAAGACTACCGAGGCCTCAACGGCCGTGCTTTGGCGACGGACAATTTGCCAGCAACGTGGGTTGCCCAATTATGTTGCCAGCACAATTGCGATGACGAACACCTGAGGATTCACGTCATAAGAGCAGCTTTTTCAAGATGACTATAGCACCAATGGAGGCGATACAAACGGACTCCCTCTCCCCCAGGCCAGATATGCGACTCCGACCGATTGCCACTATGCGTCGTGTTGTAACCGAGCCAGCCATTATGCAAACGGAACGCGTCGCGACGTCCGCGCCAAGGACAGTTGTCGAAACACTCTATAGCCACCCGGAAGCCAGAATTGTTTCGTTCACTGCTTCAGTTCATTGCCAATCGGATACTGCGGGAGATAGTGCTCGAACACCAGAGGACGGAGGAGATGCTGGCAATTTAGCATGGTGGTCCCCTCTAGAGCGAACCATCGCAGTAGGTAAGAGATGTAAATCCCCGGAGCAAGCAACATGCATACAGCTAACCAGATCCATAGGCGCATTTTGTGTATACCGCGCCCCCGGGTCGGTTGCCTTTCTAAGTTGTGGATCTGCTCTTCAACCTATCCTACCTAAGAGTCAATGCTGGCGCGTTGATCAACAAAACTGCAAATTCATACTGCAAATTCGGCGTCCTTACTATTGGCGGATTGAGCTGCCAGTATCGAGTATTGAGCAAATGAATAAGGCCCGGCAATTCAAAGATACTCTGGAAAAAGTCCTCTTATTCGAGAAAACTATATGCCCTTTCCGCCGGGCGTTTACGGTCGAACTTCCCGAAACACCGGATATTAAACTGAAGCCATGGAGACCTGCAAGGAACCAGAAGGCATACTGCGACAATTGTGAGCCACGGGGAAAGTGTTTAAATAGTGAGGCCGCTGCATTATCATCTACTCTGCCCGCTGTTGAACACCATTATGACTCTACGACCCCTTTATGTGAACAACCAAGAACAAAGCTCTCCGATACTACGAGTTCCCTCGTTACGCCCAACAACGAACAGGCTAAAAGCACTCGCACCACTTCTTTCAAATCATGTGAACCATCGACAGAAGCGAGCTTGTGTGAGCCGAGCACTAGTGCAGAGAACACGGTGATGGCATCCGTCTCC